AAAATGGGCCAGATGCAGTGGCTCACGCCTGTAATCCTAGCACTCTGGGAGGCCAATGTGGGAGCATTGCTTGAGGTCAGGAGTTCAAGACCAGCCTGAACAAGAGCAAGACCTTGTCTCTACTAAAAATAGAAAAATTAGCCGGGCATGGTGGCGCACACCTGTAGTCCCAGCTACTCAGGACGCTGAGGCAGAAAGATCGCTCCAGCCCAGGAGTTTGAGGCTGCAATGAGCTCCACGATGCCACTACACTCCAGGTGGGAGGACAGAGCAAGACTGTCTCAAAAAAAAAAAAAGAGTTAAAATGGTAAAGTGCTTAGAACAAGTCCTGGTACAAATACTACATTCAGTTTACTATTATTAGTACAGCCTCTCCACTAGATTATTTAAGCAGAGGAAACACATCTCCAACAACTCCTACGGAGGAGGGGAACCTGACCTCCTTCCAGAATCTGCCTGGATCTAACTATCTGGGCCCAGCTTCTACGTAAGACCCTGGAAGCACAGAAGCCTTCCTTCCCTCATACTCAAAGCCTGCAGACAGAGCACGGAGATGTCCAGATTCTTTCAAGTGCTTTTGATGTCAAGTAAAAGAAAAAGAGAAGTGCCCAGGTTATACACTGAATCCCAGAATTCCTTTACACTCATCTAGAGTGCCTCAAACCTGGCCTTTTCCACCCCCACATCTCAGGAAGAGCTGACTGCTAACCTCTCAGTGGTACCAGGGACCTGGCTGTTTCCCGACATCCCTCTGAGGACACACGATGGACCCTAGGGACAAGCTGCTCTGTCCAAGCCCACTGGGGTGGGGTGGGAGGGCAGTGAGGGGACAAGCCCTTCAGGGCAAACTGTAGCCCCCTAGCTGCCACTAACTCCTGCCTTTCTACAGCTTACCATTAGGCTGGCAAAAACTTAACTCTTAGAAACTTATGGCCCCAAATCAATAATCTACCCTCCCCCTCCCAAGGGTTTTCCCAATTGAAACTGGCTCACACGGGGCATGGTGGCTCATGCCTATAATTCCAGCACTCTGAGAGGCCAATGCAAGAGGATCACTTGAGGTCAGGAGTTTGAAACCAACCTAAGCAACATAGCTAGACTCTGTCTTTACAAAAAACAGAAAAATTAGCTGGGCATAGTGGTGCACACCTGTAGTCCCAGCTACTCTGGAGGCTGAGGCTGGAGGATTGCTTGAGCCCAGGAATTGGAGGCTACCGAGAGCTATGACTGAGCCGCTGTATTCCAGCTTGGGCTACAGAGCAAGACTCTGTCTCCAAAAAAAAAAGTTATTATAACTTAATGTCCGAGTTGTATACATTAATTGTATACAGCTTTATGCATGTCAATCATACCTCAAAAAAGTGATTTCAAAAAATTACTGTAACTTAGTATTATCACCTTATACAGTCAGCCCTTGGTATCCAATGGGGACTGGTTCCAGGCTTCCCCCAATATCAAAATCCTAGGATGCTCAAGTCCCTGATATAAAATGGCATAGTATTTGCATATAACCTACAAACATCCTCCCACATAGTTTAAATCATCTCTAGATTACCAATAATATCAAATACAAGGGAAATACTATGTAAATAGTTGTTGCACTATTTTTAATTTATATTATTATTATTATTTTTTGAGACAGAGTCTCCCTTTGTTGCACAGGCTACAGTGAGTGCCGTGGCGTCAGACTAGCTCACAGCAACCTCAAACTCCTGGGCTCAAGCAATCCTCCTGCCTCAGCCTCCCGAGTGGCTGGGACTACAGGCATGCGCCACCATACCCGGCTAATTTTTTTCTATATATATTAGTTGGCCAATTAATTTCTTTCTATTTATAGTAGAGATGGGGTCTCGTATATTATTTATTTTTACTTTACAATAAATTTGATCCACAGTTGGTTGAATCTACTGATGCAGAACCCACGGATATGGAGGGCCTATTGCATTATAAAAGTAAGGTCTCCATTTTCAAAATTAAAAAACCACATTTGCCCCTCCCCAGAGACACTGTAACTAGGCACCCCTCCAGAGTCACTCAGGACATGCTCGGGGATGAGATTCAGCAGCTCAAGCCTGCCACAGCAGGTTCATATGTCGTGCCATGTCACCTCACCTGGTGCCCTAGCTCCAGCGAAGACTCACCTGGGGGACAGTAGAGTCTCCAGATTGAAAGGGACACTCAGCTCCTCCCCTTTATTCCCTGCTGCCTTCTTTAGCTCTCAAAGGATATCAAAACTTTGAACATACCTCCTTTTCAAATGGCAGAAAAATGCCATTTTCTCCCTAACCACAAGATATTAGGCAGTTCATCATGTGGCCTCCAATATCACTACAACATAGCAAATGCCTGGTAGTTACCCAAACAAGCCATGTGGTTCCACCAACCACCACCCCCCCACTTTTATGCGTGCTATTCCCTCTTCTTGGAATGCCTTGTCCACCCCCTGAGGTCTAACTATCTCCTACTCACGCACATCTCAGAGAAGGCTGACCAGTAACCTCTCAGTGGTACCATAGTGCCACGTGCTGATATTCCTTTATCTCCCATTGCATTTAACATACCACCACTTCCTGGCAAGTTCTTCTCATCTCCTAGGCTGAGACCTTTTCACCTGTATGCCTACCCTATCCCACCCCTCCAGAAAAGGAACCTAATGCATATGAAATGGATAAAACCCATGGGGAAGGTGGGCAAGCAGGGAGAGTCAAGGCTATACAAAACAGTTTAAGATAAGCAGCCTCACTGATAACCCCCAACACCATGAAAATACACCTCCTCTCCAGCAAACTACCATCTTTAGAAATTGAGGTCTTATGGTGGACAACAGGGTTCTTTGGTTTTCTGGGCTTGCTTTATTAGCTAATCTCTAATAGTCCGCTGGGAAGTGCCAACCTGGGTTAGCAATGGAAGTAAACCACCAGCAATGAATATTCTCCAGATGGTGGCTCTTAGGGGTTGCAGAACTGACTTCCTGGAGGGCACTGTAACTAAAGGGAAGGAGTCCAGTTCCAGCTGAAGCCACCAAGCCACAACAGAGCCCCCAGCAGAGGGGCTCTTACTTAGCCCACTATTCAGAAGGCTGGTGGTGCTGGTGGTGGCAGCAGTGCTTGCCCTTACTAGACCAGAGCAGACAGACACTGAACTCCAGGAGATCCCAGGGGCCTTTAGGTTTGGACCTCAGCTAAAAGTGAGCCCATGCCCATGCCCCTGTGCAAGTACCAGTCTGAACCACCACAGGGCTGCAGCCCATCTCAACCCCCAAGAAGGAATAGCAGGGATTCCACTTTTTGAAGATACTGTCCTCTCTCCCAGAAAAGGTACTTAGAAAGAGTGGCCAAAACCTCAAATGCTTTAAGACTAGCCTGGACACAAAGCTCACCTTTCCCAGCTGGAGGCAGTGGGTCTGAGGGGCAGCCCAGCTCCAGACTCTCAGGCAGCGTGAAGTCAACCCTTTAGTAGAAGTAGGGTTCTGGGTCCTCACACAGCTTCCCAGGAGACTCTGCCCTCCCCCAGTTTCAGCCCACAGAGGTTCCCGCAGATACCCCACATAACAGCAACCCTGTCACTCTCCTATAACTGACAGGGGAGGTTCTGAAGAACCAGGTAGAGCCAGGATGGGGTTAAGGTCCCCAAAGCCAAGGGCCTGTGGGCATCAAGGTCCAAGAAGGACAAGGCCTTCAGGGGCCAAAACAACCCCACCACACTGCAGCAACAAGAGGACAGATGTCCGCCCGCCTTGCAACCCATCAGTGTTGTAAACTCTTCCCTTCCCCCTAGAAGCAGGGATCCAGACCCAGATTCTCAAGATGTCATGCCATTGGTGGTGGCGCGGCAGGCCTCTGCATTGCTAAGAGTGGGAACTGGCAGCGCAGAGCCCTGCCCAGCCCCATCACCATCATTCCGCACCAACCCCACGGCACAAGGGAGGCAGCGACACCAGCCCCCACCAGGGGCTCTGCGGTTTCTCCCCCAGACCAAGGGAAGGAGGCTCATGGTGGATAACTAGCCTTGGTTTCCTGGGCAAAAGCATAACAGGACTGCACAGGAAGGGTCTCTCAGCCCTGGAGTGACGCAGCAGAGGCCACAGGCCCTGCGAAGCTGTCCCTTTCCACACCAGCTATTGTCTCTGCCAGCCTATCTCCCAGTCCTTACTCGCTGATAGCTTCAAGGCTTTTATCCACCACCCCATCCCACAGGCACATCCTCCTCACTGTCCCATTAACCGCCAGCTGCTGGCGGTTCCATGAAGCCGCCTCACACTCCCTGCCTTCAGCATATGGCCGGTGAACGAGATGATGTCGCCTCTCCTAGCAGGACCCCATCCCGGCCAGCTCTGGGGTCCTGGCTTGGCTGCCAGGGCAAACCCAGAGGAGGAGGAACCGAGTGTCTTCAGTCATCTCCTTCCCAAGTCTAATTAAGTTGCCGGCTCACCTCTGGCCAAGCCCAGGTTCTAGTGCTGTGGAGAAAGCCCGCCCACCCCCACAACTACGGCTCTAACGAACTAAGGTGCCGGGCGGCCGGCCCAGGCCTCCAAGGTCACCGGGAGGGGTCAGGGTGGAAAGGGCAAGGGAGTGAGGGTGCCGCCCCGCAGGCCGCGCTAGTCCCGCTCGGCTCCGTCCAGCCGAGGCGGGGTCGCGCCCACGCGGGAGGTGCGCCTCGGAGGAGGGCGGCGAGGCGGGTCCCGGGTGGGAGCGAGGGGCGCGCGGGCTGCAGGCTTGGGACGGGTGCGGCGTCGCTCGCCCACTGCGGGGACGCCCGGACGGCGCCCGGCGCGCCCCGCGCCCGGGAGGGCGGGGAGACAATGCCCGCCCGGCGGGGCAGTCCAGGCCGCACGCCCCGCCGGCCGGACACGGGCGACTCCTCCCGGGCGACGGGCAGCGGCGGGAAGGCGCCGGGAGCGATGGCCGGACTGACCCGAGAGGCGCGGGAGGCCTCGCTCGCTTCTCCCGCGCCCACCTCCGCGTGCGCTTCGCCCGGCAAGCCCGGGGCCACGAACCCACCTCCTCCTCCAGGGCGCCGCCGCCGGAGCCCGTGCCGGTGCCCGTGCCCGTGCTGGTGCTGTGCTCGCCGTCCGGCTTCAGGCTGCTCATGGTGCGGGGGAGGGGGTGGCAGGGGAAGGGAGCGCGGAGGGCGCGGAGGTGGGAAGGGGCGCGGTGAGCGGTGCGCTCCGGGGTGCGGGGCGGGTGGCGGTGGGGCCCGCGGGGCGGTGAGAGGGGCAGCCGCCGCGTCGGGCTGGGGTCACATCAAGTTTGGCGGGTGCAGGAGGCGGGGAGAGGGTGCGGCGGGGGAGGCACTGGGAACCGGAGCCGAGCCGGAGCGGCCGCCACCTCCGCCTTTTCACTGCGACCGGCTAGTGCGCCCGCGGCGGCGGCGGCGGCGGCGGGGGGCGGGCGCCGGGGGAGGGGGCGGGCGCCGGAACCGGCCTCAGCTGGGGCCCGGCCAGCCCCGCGCCCGCCCCCCTCGCGGTCTCCGGGGGAACGCGCAGCCAATCCCCGCCGCCCACTGCGGGCTCGCCCCGGCCGCCGCGCCGCGCCGGCCTCCGCCCGGGCCTTGCCCCTCTGCCTTGGGTCAGCTCTCTCCCTCGCTTTCCCCCACTCCCTTCTCCGCGACAAGTTTTTAGACTCTGACAAACTCGCCCAGCGAACTTTCTTAAAGGGGCCGCGCGCCGCGCGCCGTCCCAGCCCGCCCCCGGGGGTGGAGCCGGCGGCCGGCACCCCGCGCCCGCGATCCCTCGGCATCCCCGCCCCGGCGTCCCGCGCGCGGGGCGTCCGCAGCAGGGCTCCCGGGGGGTCGGCTCCCCTTGGGTTCCCGCTCCGGGGATTTGGGGTGCCCAGCTCATTCTTTTCACCCCCAAATTCAGTCGCCCAGTCCCGGTCCGCGCTCTCCCCTCCCCCACGCAGAGCTGCTGGGGGCCGGAGGGGGCGGGGGCTGGGCCGACACCGGGCTCCGGCCTGGCTCGGCGCCGTTTTGCTGAGTGACCTTGAGGAAATCACTTCCCCTCTCTGGCCTCAGACTCCAGCCCAGAGGGTGGGACTTGGGATCTCAGACTCCCTTCCCGCTCCCAGTCACCGAATAGGACTCAGGGCGGGACCCCAGTGGCCGTTCCCCGCGAGGGAGTATTTCGAATGACCGAGAAGGTCCCGTTGCCCCGCGCACACCGCGGCTTTTGGGTCTTCTCGCTCCTCCCTGACCTAACACCTTTTCCCCGCCTCCTGCTCCGAGCCCGAGGGCTGGGGAGGCGGGCACGCTCGGGCCGGGTGGTCTGCAGGGCGCGGCCGCCGAGTTGCTTTTCCTCTTGTGTTTGGAAGCCGCGCGGACGCGGGCTGCCCCGGCCGCCGCTTGGCGAACGCCCGCGCCCACCTCGGGTTACGCGGGAACCTGCGGAGCCGCCTGAGGATGGGCCCCGCCCGGCGCCCCCGCCCGAGTTCGTGCTGCCCACGGGGGATCCCGGCCCGAGGTGCCGTCCGGCCTGAGGAGCCACTGCCGAGAGGTGAGGAAAGTCCTGCGGGGCCCGGCGTCACCGGCTGTGATGCGCCGCCGGGCGCCTGTTTCTGTCCTGGCTTAGCCACCTGGGCTTTAGGCTGGAAGAGAAGCGCAGCGTCAGTGGGCTCGGAAAAGCTGGATTTGCAGTCACCCACCAGTTAGGATCCCAGACCGGGGACTCATGACTCAGAACCGCAGGGTGCCAGCCTGCTGAATGGGGCTGGCACCACCGTACCGGAGCGCTGTGCTGTGGCTTAGTCTCCATCCAAATTATAGTCTCCATCCAAACCTGCCATCTCAGTAAGTAAACTGAGGCCTACAGATGGGCAATATCTTTCCCCAGGACACAGTCATTCCTTTAGTAAATAATATTTGAGCACCTGCTGTGGACTGGGGAACCACTTTCTGCTGGTGGCAAGGCCAGGAGCACCCTGGTGTCCCTACCAGCCCCCGTTGCCAACACTTGGCTCGTGCCCTAGTATGAAGGGACTGTGTCCTATACGAATCAGGCCTTTACCCAGAGTGTCCAACGTGTTTCCAGCCTCTGGTACCTCCAGAACCATCCTTGTGAATCCTCAGGTAACCCCCACCGTCCTTTACAGGACTCAGTCCACACCCCCACCACCTCTCCCCTCTCTAGAATAGATCTTCCCATGTGGTTTGTCTCCACCTTCCCCAGAAATATTCTTCCTGCGCTCCTTCCTTCCCTTCCCTGTCCCCTATATGAATCCAAATCTTTCTTTCTCTCAAGATCCTGCTTCAACCCTGCGTTTTTCCAGGAGGAGGAGCCTGGCCAGTTTTCTAAACTCAGGTAGCCCCTAATGGTTAGTTTGAATTTTTCAAAGGGGAAGGGGCTTGCATCTTGCGGTTCTGGTTTCTATTTTATAGATGGGGAAGCCAAGGCCCAAAGAGGTAATAAATGACCCAGAGACCACAACTGACCCACATCGCTGTATTTTTCATCAGAAGAAGCTGACGATGCTTTTAAAAATAATGTTTATTACTCTTCTGATGATAATAGCAATAGATGCTCATTGTTGAACACTGGGAGCTATAAAATAGTTTAGGAAACAGCTGGTGGTGGTGGCATGTGCCTGTAGTAACAACTACTCAAGAGCCTGAGGCAGGAGAATTACTTGAGCCCAGGAGTTTGAGGCTGCAGGGAGCTGTGGTCACAATTGTACCAGTGCACTCCAGCCGGGGCAACAGAGCGAGACTCTGTCTCTAAAGCTTAAACTCATGAGCATTTCTTTGTGAATTCTTCTGTCATAATTTTTAATGATTGCTTAACCTCTCTTGGATTGCTATTATTTATTTAACCTATCTCTTGTTAGACATTACATTATTTCCAGTTTGTTTTTTTTCTTTTTTGCCTTCATAAAAGCAATACTTTACATGGGCATTCTTAATGCCTCAGGAAGCTTCCCATATGTGTGACCAGCCCTTAAGTACTTTGGAGGCGACAACTATCTTATCCCTCCCTGTGATCCCCACAGCCCCTGGAGTGGCAGAATCTCCAACCCCAAAGGGATTTGGAGATCATATAAATGCAAAGCTCTGGTCCACACCTGCGTGAGTACCCATTGGTGCTGACCCAGGGGTTGATGCAAAGGAAGCTGGAGAGGGGATCTTGGGGTGTACAAGTCTGGCAGACACCTGGAAGGTGGGAACTTTGATCTCTGCTTCCCCTAACTGTGATCTAGTAGCCCAGTCTCTAGCAATCTCTTCAGTGTCCCTCTCCTCCCTCCCCAGTCCCTTCACTCATCTCTGAGCTTCTCACATTGCTGTTCCCTTTGTCTAAAATCCCACTCACTACCCCCATGCCCCCATCCTGACCTTCCCCAGCACCCTTTCTCCTTACTCTGTGCTCTCAGAGTGCCTTCTCTATGTTCTGTTGAGCCTGGGGATACCTTGTTATGATGGCTCACCTGCCACATGGGAAGCTTTCTGATTCCAAAGAGTGTCTATAAACTGTGCTGAGTGAGTAGAGCCCCTAAATGTCTGCAGCCCCCTGGCCTCCAGCCAAGAGCTTGATGAGGGTGGACATTCCTGGTGGTAGGTGTTCAGTAAACCTTTGTTGAAATGATACTGGACCATGCCTGGGGCTTCTGAGTTACCTGGTGCCCTTAGCCCCTTCTCTTTGACTTACTGTGCATACGTCATCCTTTGGTATTTCATTCATAGGATAGGGAAAAGAGTCAGGTGACCTCACTCTGAAGAAATGCTGCCCTGGGCCCAAGCATCCTGACGGTGTGACCTGGCTATTTCAGGACCTACCCCCATTCTGACTCAGCTACCCCCACCATCAGGAAAGCTGGGAAATCAGAAGGCACATAGAGAGAGTGCCCTGGAGGCTCAAAGGATGGGCTGTATCTAAGGTATATTTTCTTGGTGCATATAGGTTTAAGCTCCGCTTGGGTGTAAGAGGTCTCCGAAGGGAAAGGGGGCAGGTTGCTGCCCCAAGTAGTTAATGCGCCATCCATCTCACATAATCCTTCCATTGCTCCTGCTGTCTCTCGTTATAGGTTAGGAAACAGGCTCAGAAGTGTTAGGGGAACTTGACTAGCCACTGGGGGATGGCATGAGTGGTGGAAAAGCATGAGAAAGCCCTGCGATAGGATTCTGATTCTTTAACCTTGGACAAGTTGCCAGCTAGTATCAATCAGTTCATCTGTAAAATGGGGCTATAAGTGTACAATTGTAGGGATGTATTAAGTAAGATAAGTAAGTCTCCTGGCAGAAGAAAATAAATTAATTTAAAAAAAAAGTAAGATAAGTAAGAACTCATGGTGATTGTGATTATTGCCCTTGGTCCTACTACTAGTTTGCAGGGCGAGATCAGAAACTGGGTCATTTCAACACAAAATCCCTGAGAAGTCCCTTCTCTGGCCTTCATTACTCTGGGCCACATTGTGAACCTGGATCCCAAGTTCAAATCCAAGACAAACAGTATTTCCAAAGTAGCTGTGCCAGAAGACCTGACTTTGCATCCAGGTGACCATAGTAACCTGTGTGACCATAGGCAGATAGTTTAATCTCTCTAAGGCTTTGTTTTCTTAAGGTAAAACTAGAGACACCTTTCAGGCTCTCATGAGTATTACTCAGGCTTCCATAAGTATTAAATGAGATTATGACTTTGAAAGTTCTTTGATGGCTTCAAAGCTCCAGGTCAACAGGAGGATAATCAGCAAAGGAATAGAGTGGGAAGGAAGGCACAGTGACACTTGCCTTTGTTCCAGCTACTAAGGAGGTTGAGGCAGGAGGATCACTTGCGCCCAAGAGTTCAAGATCAGCCTGGGCAACAAAGTGAAACCCCATCTTTTTTTTTTTTAAAAAAAAGGGGGAGGACCAGGTGCGGTGGCTCATGCCTATAATTCTAGCACTCTAGGAGGCTGAGGCAGGAGGATCACTTGAGGTCAGGAGTTTGAGTTAAGCATGGTGGTATGTACCTGTAGTCCTGGCTACTTGGGGAGGCTGAGGCTGACGGATCATTTGAGCCCAGGAGTTTGAGGTTGCTATGAGCTAGGCTGACGCCACAGCACTCTAGCCCAGGCAACAGAGCAAGACTGTGTCTCAAAAAAAAAAAGGAATAGAATGGGAACGTCATGCTCAGCCTTCCTGAAAGGCAATGTCTTCTTCCTACACCCCTCCCCTGAAAGATGTTATTTCTTCTGATCCTACCACATAGCTGAAAATTAGTGGGGGACTCCCTGAGAGTAGGGATGGTATCTTTTTTCATCTTTGAATCCTTTATGCCCAGTCCAGGTCCTAGCAAAGGGGTTTTATAATGAATATTGAATGATTGGAAGGGTGAGGTTACCAAGAAAAAAATCCCCGAGAGAAGTATTTTATGCTAACATGTCAATGACCACTTTTTCTCTCCCCCAAGAGGGGAGAGAGTAGAATACCGGGAACCTAAATGGGGAGGGTACAGAGGATTAAAAAACACCACAGAGGACATATAGGAGTAATATTTATCGGTATGGGAGGAGCATGGTGTATACAACCACAACGGGTAAGATGTGCAACATTTGGGGGATGGACATGCTTGAAGCTCTTACTCGAGGGGGGAGGAGGGGCACGGGCAATATAAGTAACCTTAACACTTGTACTCATAATACGCTAAAATAAAAAAATAAATAAAAAATCTTTTTAAAAATTAAAAAAAACAAAACAAAAACACCACAGAGAAGCCCTAAAGGGATGTCTGCGAAGGCCACGGGTTTCTGGCCCAGACTTTGAGCTCCCTATTCTTGCCTCCCTCTCAGCAGCCAGGGCCTCTGCCCTGTTCCACCAACCAGTTCCTAGGCAGCCACGGTGCCAGTGGCCTTTGCAGATGGAGAAGCTGAGGGTTGGCGGCTGAAATCCACTCACATAAGGTCATACGGCAAGGTACTGAGTTCATAGTCTCTGTTTAATTTCCAAAACAGGTGGGGAAAAAAAAACAAAAAAAAACAACAAAAAAAAAACAGGTGGGGCCGGGTGCAGTGGCTCACACCGGTAATCCTACCACTCTGGGAGGCCAAGGCGGGCGGATTGCTGGAGGTCAGGAGTTCCAAACCAGCCTGAGTAAGAGCGAGACCCCGTCTCTACTATAAATAGAAACAAATTAATTGGCACATAACATATATATAGAAAAAATTAGCCGGGCATGGTGGCACATGCCTGTAGTCCCAGCTACTTGGGAGACTGAGGCAGGAGGATTGCTTGAGCCCAGAAGTTTGAGGTTGCTGTGAGCTAGGCTGACGCCAGGGCACTCACCCTAGCCTGGGCAACAGAGTGAGACGCTGTCTCTTCAAAAAAAAAAAAAAAAACAGGTGGCTTAGAAATTTTTTTTCTAAGAGAAAACAAAACTAATCAAAATCTTTTTACATGGATCCTTCAAGTTATCGTTTATCCTCCAAAAATTCTTTGTGTGTGTGCGTGTGTGTATGTGTTTTAAATGGGTTTTAAGGGCCAGGTGGGGTGGCTCATGCCTTAATCCTAGCACTTTGGGAGGCTGAGGTAGAAGGATCATTTGAACTGAAGAGTTCAAGACCAGCCTGGGCAACATAGCAAGATCTTGTTTCTATGAAAAAGAAAAAAAGATAGAAAAGTTAGCCAGGTATGATGGTGTTCCCCTGTAGTCCCAGCTACTCAGGAGGCTGAGACAGGAGGATGGCTTGAGCCCAGGAATTCCAGCCTGAGCAACAGAGTGAGACCTTGTCTTTTTAAAAAAAAAAAAAAAAAATGGATTTTAAGTTCTGGCAACAATTCAGTGGCACTTGCTAAACTTTTACTGGTTTTGAGTCCTTCCCAGGGAACCAAAGGTCACTGAGAATGCCTCTCTGGCCTGCTTCCCTGCCTGAGCCCTTGGCCTCTCAGAGCCTGGGAGGGGTCCCTAGGCCAGACAAATTCTGCAGAGTTGCCCAGCATGCTGGGGGTGGGACTTTCCAAGAAAGTGTTCCACCAGGCACTTTCCAAGAAAGACCAAGGGACTTAAAATAGGAATGGTTACACTTGACTATGGTGCAGTGGGGCAAGTGACAGTCTTTTGGGGACTGAGGCTCTGCATGGAGTGAAGTGGGGTGGGGCAAGGAGGGAAGGTGAGCTGGCTCTACCCTCACGCTGAAGGTGGCAGTGCCATCCTATGCCTCCTTCTTTACTACCTTTTATTTTCCGTTCCAGAAGAGCCTATTGCCCATGAGGGGAAGGGAGCAGTGGAGAAGTGCCCGTGAAGGGAGGGTGCACTCATTCTCTCCAAGACCTTCGGGATTTTAGGAAGCAGTAAGGGGAGAGAACAATGCCTGTCCCAAAGGAAACCTTCCCCAGTTGTGGGTGTTAGAGCACCCCAGATCGTAAAAACTATGCCCGAGAGGTCGGTCATCCAAGCAAGTGGATCCCATACATAGCTGCGGATCAGAATTGCCTTTTGAAAACGACAGATTCCTGGGGCCCATCTGAGAATAGCAACATCCAAATCTCTGGGGGCAGGCCTTGGAAATCTCCTTATACCCCTGCAGCTAGAACCCTAGGGCTGGAATCCAACTGTCTGCACCAAACACTGGAATCTCCACCAAAAGCTAATCCAGCTTCTGTCTGAAGTCAGGGATATGCTACTCATACCCCAACCTCAGATTGCTCATACTACTGCCGCCGTATATTGTTATCAGATCTTTTTTTTTTTTTTTTTTTTTGGAGACAGAGTCTCACTCTGTTGCCCAGGCTAGAGTGAGTGCTGTGGCATCAGCCTAGCTCACAGCAACTTCAAATTCCTGGGCTCAAGCAATCCTCCTGCCTCAGCCTCCCAAGTAGCTGGGACTACAGGCATGTGCCACCATGCCCGGCTAATTTTTTCTATATATATTAGTTGGCCAATTAATTTCTTTCTATTTATGGTGGAGACGGGGTCTCACTCTTGCTCAGGCTGGTTTCAAACTCATGACCGCAAGCAATCCGCCTGCCTTGGCCTCCCAGAGAGCTAGGATTACAGGCGTGAGCCACCGCTCCGGGTCCTGTTATCAGATCTTGATTAGTGATCAGTAACATTTACCCAGTACTTGGCCATTGACCTCTTAGCACAGTGGTTACGCTTCCAAGTTCTGGACTGAAACAGGCCTGGATTCAAACCCAGCTACATTTTGTATTTGTTTCTGTAACTTTGGGCAAGTGACTAAGGACTCTGAACCTCAGTTTTCTCATCTGTAAAATGGTGGGCATAGTACCTGTCCCTCTCATAGAGTTTGTGAGCAGTCAAATGAGATGATGTGTAGGATGTGCTTGACACAGTGCCTGGCATTCTCAATTAAAAATATACGTTGTTTCTTCAGTTAAACTCAAATCTGTCTCCCTGTGGTTCTGCCCAACTCCTCCACACCTTACAGCCCTAAGCTCCACAGCTCCATAGAGCAAACCCCTGTTCCCTGTCCAAGGGGAGCCCTTAGCCAACAGTAGACCCTTTCCTGGCACCTGACCCCTCTTCTGGGCTGTTTGTACTGGGATGGGTGAAATATTTTGGGAAGTGGATCTGCCCAGCAGGCCAGGCCTCTGGGAGCACCTTGAGCACGTAGGGAGGCAGAGCAGTGTGTGTGGGAAGGCTGTGAAGACCAGTGATCCCAGGAGAGAAGAGGATGTCTCCCACACCCTGCTAGTAAAGCAGTTTGTGCTGGACACAGAGCTAGGTCTGTCTCATCCCTGGGCTTATTTAACTCTTACAGCTAATCCAGGAGATGGTTTTTTCTTATTTTACATTTAGGGTATAGAGAGGTTGTGTAACCTGCATGATGAGCACAGCTGTAACTGACAGGCTGGTATTTGAACCCAGGACTCCATATATCCCACTCCTGGAACAAAGGAGTTGGATCTGAATTGAGGTTTAGAGTCCAAAATGCAGTTCTCTTCCAGGAATCATCTAGATAAATATTTGCTAATTTCCTTTTTTTTTTTTTTGGAGACAAGGTCTTGCTGTGTCACCTGGTCTAGAGTACAGTGGCATCGTTATAGCTCACTGTAACCCTCAAACTCCTGGGCTCAAGCCATACTCCTGCTTCAGCCTCCCAGAGTGCTGGGATTATAGGCATGAATGACCACGGTGCCTGGCTAACTGTTTCATTTTTTTGTGGTCTTGCTATGTTGCCCAGGCTAATCTCAAACTCCTGGCCTCAGACCTCAGCCTCCCAAAGTGTTGGGATTATAGGTGTAAACCACCACACCTGGCCTATTTTTCTTTTTTTGAGAGGAGTTAATATTTGCTTATGGTATAAAATTCATGAGGTACAAAAGAATATTGGAAACGATTTGCAGTTCCTTAAAGAGTTAAGCATATCCTTCCTTGTTCCACTGAAATGATTAATAATAAATAAGGAAAAAAAAAATTAAAAAGAAGAGTTAAGCATAGAATTACCGTATGACCCAACAGTTTCGTTCCTAGGTACCTACCTATTCAAAAGTATTGAAAACAGGTATTCAGGTCAGGCGTGGTGGCTCACGCCTGTAATCCTAACACTCTGGGAGGCCGAGGCAGAAGGATTGCTTGAACTCAGGAGTCAAGACCAGCCTGAGCAAGAGCGAGACCCCGTCTCTACTATAAATAGAAAGAAATTACCCAAATGACTAAAAACAGAAAAAAATTAGCCGGGCATTTTGGCACGTGCCTATAGTCCCAGCTACTCGGGAGGCTGAGACATGAGGATCCCTTGAGCCTAGGAGTTTGAGGTTGCTGTGAGCTAGGCTGATGCCAAGGCACTCTAGCCCAGGCAACACAGTGAGACTCTGTCTCAAAAAAAAAAAAGAAAACAGGTATTCAAACAAAAACCCGAATGTCATAGTAGCTCTAGTCATAATAGCCAGAAGGTAGAAACACTGCAACTGCCCGTCAGCTGATAAATAGATAAATGAGGTATTGTATAGCTATGCAGTGAAATATATAATAAGCCATAGAAAGGATCAACGTGGATGAACCTCAAAAACATACTAACCAAAAAAAAGCCAGACAGAAAAGGTCACATGTTGTATGATTCCATTTCTATGAAATGTCCAGAATAAGCAAATCCATAGAGACAGAAAGCAGTTCAGTGGTGGCTAGGGGATGAGGGGACAGGGGATGGGGAGTGAGTGCTGATGGGTACAGGCATTTGTTTTTGAGGAGATGAAAATGTTCTGGAACTAGATAGAGGTGGCGGTTGAACAACACTGTGAATTACTGAATTGTATACTTTAAAATGGATAATTTCATGTTATGTGAATTTTCCCTCAATTTTAAAAAAAAAGAATATTGACCAGTAAGTCTCCCTCACCTCCTGACACTGTCCCCCCAGCAACTGGTACAAGTTCCAGAGATATTCTAAGCATTATAAACATTTGTATGTATAGTTTTTCATAGAAATGGTAGCATCACATATACATTGTTTCTTTTACTTAGCAAAGATCTTAGAGATTGTTCTGCACTTGCATCTACAGACTTGTTATGTTCTTTCTTATAACATCTCCATACTGTTCCATTTTGTGCATGTCTTGCTTCGTCCAGCCTGCCCCTACTGACGGACACTTAGAGTCCTTTCAGTCTTTTTGCTGTTTTAAACAAGGCTGCCCTGAATAGCCCTGTACCTGTGTCATTTTACATATGCGTCTATTTATGGGGAAATTCCTAGAAGTGTAATTGCTGGGTTAAAGGGTCTGTGTATTTTAATTTTTCCAGCTGCCAAAATATATACTTGTTATATAAATTTCAAACAGCTCAGAAGCCCATAGGCTGAAAGTGAAAGAGCCCTCCCCCCCACCCCAACCCTCACTCCTCAGAGGGGTGTTTGCTCCCTTTTGTGCCCCAGCAGGGGGCAGGCCTGCAGCTCTTAGCTCTCCAGTTGCCTTTCCTGCCCAGCCCTGGTTATGGTTCATTTGTCGTCAGATAGACGTGG